TCTTTGTTCTCTCTTTAACAAGGAGGACTTATGCAGATACCAGACAAGGATGTGATTATTAGTAAGTCGGAAAGGATCCCTGAGAATCCAAAACAAGGTTTAAATTATAGATAAGTTTGGGACCATGGCACTCTCCAGCATTGCCTGGAGAAGTATGTGGAATCAAATACATCAAATGAGCATTGCCCCGAATAAAGGTGCTTTAGATGTTCTCACCCTGTAACCTTAATTGTAAAGTTGGACCAAGCATGGCATAAGCTTATCTTTTATTAAATATTTTTGCTAAAATTTTGATGCTTACTTTTATATTATCTTAGGCTTGTCTAAATGTTGTTTGTTGTGCCTTTTTTCTTCTTCTTCAAGTTGCCAAATAATAATGATACTAAACTACCTTTCTGAGTTCTAAGATTTGCCCTAGCCACACACTGAAGTCAGCCAGATGATTTGGCTGGGCCTTTTTAACCTGCAAATTGCTCATTACAATAAAGGAGATGACTCAAGCTCTTAATGAAGTTTGAAAAATGTCATCTCTATTTAAAGCCTTCAATCAGACACCTCTAGATGATTATGGAAATGTGTGGGCATGGTTTGAAATTCCAGCATTTTCATCCAAATTGTCATTAGGTCCCATTCTTGGGCACTCAGCAAGCTTTTTTAAAATTCCAGGAGAAATGAGCATCTCAAGAGATCGAATTAGGACATGGGAACATTGGAAAGTTTGTTAACCGGCATGAAAAGTGAGGAATAGAAGTTTGGTATATGCGATATCATTGGACAGGGCAAAAAAGTAAATGATAGAAGGAATCATAATAGCTCATATGATCCATTCCTGTATTCATGCTAGAGTCTCTCTAAAAATAGGGTGCGAGGGGGCGGGGGGCTCGCCAGTGTGAGTCAGTGGTTGAGAGTTGACCCAGGCACCAGGAGTTCATGGTTCAATTCCTGATCAGGGCACATGCCCAGATTGTGGGCTAGATCCCCAGTAGAGGCGTGCAGGAGGCAGCCAATCAATGATTCTCTCTCATCATTGATGTTTCTATCTTTCTCTCCCTGTCCCTTCCTCTCTGAAATCAATAAAAATGTTAAAATAAATAAATAAAAATAAAAAGGTGGGGGGAAGATGGTATGATCTTGAATTAAAGTCTATGGACACTTACAGAATAATCTCTTTATGGAATTCAGAAATATTTGAAGTCACTAAAATCAAAAGAATCAGTATTGATTTAAAGTGTACCAGAAACACAACATTTATCAAGGTAAAAAGACAATTTCAAAGGTATTTAGGCACTTTTTTTAGTGATACATTTTTACTGTCAAATTTTTATAATTGAAAGTATTCCCCTTCATATCTCTGAGCAATAATTACTAACTTTATAGACTAAATAGATGTCAGCACTCAAGGAAAAAAAGAACAAGATGCTATTTACTCATGATTAGTCTTAATTTAGTATAATCTTAGCTACATACAAGGGTTAGCATATGACACTGGAATGAGAAAAAGGGATGATAAACTAGGAAAAGGTCAAATTCCAGTTGAGACTAACAGCTTGAGTTATGATGCTTAATGCAGTGGATTGACTCTGACCTCTATTCATTCTCTTTATTGGCAAAATGTTCTTGGAAGAAGTCTTAGGTCATAGGTTTTGAACAATGGCCAACATGCATATTTAAACAAAAAAAAAAAGAAAGGAAGTGAAATATCTTGGTAGAGATGTAATTTATCAGTTGTTAATGGAAACATCATTTTAAAGATATTTCAAAATTATATACTGAATATTACACTTTTATAGTGCAGGGTTCCATATCCTGGGATCCACTCTCTACACCAGGTGGGCCACAATGCCCTTCTTGCCCAGCCTTGATGAACACGTGTGCATGCCGTTTAACCATGCACCTAGAATACCTCTCACTAATTTCCACCTTCATCTTGTTCTACCTCTTTATTGAAGGCTTTGACTACACAATTATTGTACTATAAATATATAGCCAAATGAAAGAAAAATAATGTGTGTGTGTGTGTACTTTAAAATTACTTGTTAAGGAATGAAAGATTCAACCAGGAAAAGAAATGTTATTTGAATACTACTTATTTGAAATAATATGTTTAGCCACTAGATGTCACCCTTTTTTAAGCAACAAAATTTGCAACGGCAATATCAGTTACATTTCCTATAGGGTATAAGTTGGTACCATTGGAATTAGCCATTCTGACATCACATCAAAGAAGCTTTAACACACAAATCAACAACAACAACTAGGATTTCCTGTAAGGCGGGCTTTGTGAGTCAAGCCTGATTTGGGTCTTGTCAGTCTCCACAGCCAAATAGTTGAAATGCAACAATAGTTAATAAAGTATAATTTTCAAAAAAGTTAAAAGCACGACTCTTATACAAATATAAAACGAATAACACATAAATATCTCATTCAACTCATTAATTATGGGGGAAACCAGTAAGATGTAAGAGAGAATCAAGGAATGGAAACTTAGACAGTCAGGCTGTCAAAGACCTGCGGAAATGAACGTGGCCTTAGGCACAAAACTGTATAAAGTCCTGAAGATCAGAAAATGTGATGCTTGGGGCTATGTTTTGTGCTTGAGAGAACTGATCTCTGCTACACAAAAGTCTACAAGTTAAAAATGCAAGTTCTTAGCCTACATGCGTGGATCACATACAGCACTTAAGTGCCTGTGCTTAGTGCTTTACATGCATCATCCCATTTTATTCTCAGTAATTTGAGGTAGATGCTGACACTGACTTTAGTGTGAGACTAGAACAGAATGTCAAGGACCATTCTTCAGGTCACGGACCAGCAAGTGGTCAAGCTAGCATATGAATCTGGTCTGCCTGGTACGGTCTTTCTCCTGGGAATATGAACTTAGCTATTACAGCATCAAGAGAATGTTGGGATTCTACAACTTGAGACACATGTGAGCATACTACAATGCCTTCACCCTCTCCTGCTCCTCATTCATAAAGGACAAATAACAGTGAAGAAGTCTCAAGTGTAATAGACTGATGTTGTAAGCCCAGATCTTAACTGTTAACACTCGCATTCTATAGAATTGTGTAGATTAATTATCACACCCCCTCTGCCACTCCCAATGCCTGCTCTTTGGGATGATACAATATGTCAGATCCTCTATTACAATTTAAATAAGTGGAGAGTAGAAAGTGTTCAGAGTGATGGATCTTCACCCAAAAGCCAGCAATATATTATATACCAGCAAAAAAGTATGCTAGATAAAATGTTATCCATGAGGTCTGCTAAAATTGAAAAGAGGCCTTTTGCCCTAGCTGGTTTGGCTCAGTAGATAGAGCGTTGGCCTGTGGACTGAAGGATCCCAGGTTTGATTCTGGTCAAGGGCACATGCCTGGGTTGTGAGCTCGATCCCCAGTAGGGAGCATACAGGTGGCAGCCAATCAATAATTCTCTCTCATCATTGATGTTTCTATTTCTCCCTCTCCATTCCTCTCTGAAATCAATAAAATTTTTTAAAAAAGAAAAGAGACCTTTTATAATATGCACTAGAGGTCCAGTGCACGAAAATTGTGCACTCAGGGGTGGGGGGTGTCCCTCAGCCCGGCCTGTGCCCTCTTGCAGTTCAAGAGCCCTTGGGGAATGTCTGACTGATGGCTTAGGCCCACTCTCTGCCATCAGTTGGACATTCTTAGTGCTGCTGCGGAGGCAGGAGAGGCTCTCGCCACTGCCGCTGAGCTCAGCGCTCCCCCTGTGGGAGCACACTGACCACCAGAGAGCAGCTCCTATGTTGAGTGTCTGCTCCCTGATGGTCAGTGAGCATTATAGCGACTGGTCGTTCTACCGTTTGGTCAATTTGCATATTAGCCTTCTTTATATAGGATGATATTCTTATAATATATGGTTTATATTCTTTTCAGAGAATTTGGGAAACAGGGAGAAATCTAATGAACTGACAATCATTAGAAGAAGAAGTCTGCCTGACAAAATACCTGTCTAGAGAAATTCTATTTAATTTTAAAACTTTAAAATTTTGAAGAAATTTATATATAATTAAATGAATTATAGAAAATTATCTTAAATTTCTAGGATTCATATACACAGAACCTCAGAAATATGATGTGCTCCAAGCTTTATTATAATTCAACTTCAATTCTTGAAAAGATTATACCACTCAGCCAGTGGCTGGGAAGATATAGAAAACTAATCATATATTATTATATGACTTATGTTACTAGAGCCAGTCTCCTTATCACACATACTCTGATACAACTGTGAAAGGTGTGTGTGTGTGTGTGTGTGTGTGTGTGTGTGTGTGTGTTTGTCTCCAAGGATATTATTTATTCATCTCTATACAGATAAAAGTAAAGGAAACACTGTGAGGTTCACAGTCAAATAAAAATGTGTCTATGTGTTGGTGTATCACATTTGCATTTACACTTGCTCTAAAAAATGAAGAAAGTTATATAAAATTTTTTTAAAAGCGCTGCTTTTTATGTAGGCAGTCTGTTGTCTAGTGCTCAGCTTCTTCATTTTTCATGGGTTATAAAATCTTTTAGGACAGAAGACATTCCTTACAAGATCATCATATTATGTTTCTAGCTTTAGAGGTAGATGTGATTTTAGTAATAAAACACCACATTTAAGGCTCTATTTTGCACATCTCTTGTTGCCTTTGATTTATTCTTCGATGTGAGAAATCAGAACTTTTCTAAAGTCTAATTTTTGAAAAAAATTGAGTCGTCTCTTTTCATTAAACCATCTGCTCTACATGATTACAGTGACTCACTATTATCACTGAAGCTCCCTTTTTGTGATTACATTTCTTGTTCAACCAATTGAGCTCTTTGGGAAGCATTTATTTATGATAAAGCACATCATTGTTAATATAGTAGTCAAATGATTATAATCAATCCAGATTCTTAATGGATAGCATCTTAAAGAATTTATGTAAATTTAATATATTATCAATGCAAATTAGTGTATTTAACACCAAAGAAGAATCTAAAGATGGTACTCACGCAGGTTTAATTGTATGGGCATGCTTTTCATGGACAAAGGCACCAGCGAGACCTCCAGCTCCTGAATTTAAATACTGGATTGAAAATAAATTAAATTATATGGGTTTATCTGAATATATGACAAAGATAAACAATGTAATCTTTTTCTTGTTGTTGTTAAGAAACCAACTTTTGACCAGTTCAATATGTGTGATTATTTGAACATTCATCATAAAATAAATTTTGGGTTACCTTGTTCAAAGAAAAACAAATAAAACATGGAAGTGTTAGTTGAGAATAAATAGCTATTACTTTTTTGGCTAAATTTTGCCCCAACTAATAGATAACAGTTCCACTGAAGTCAATCTAATTTCAAAGCTCATTAGTTTCAATTATTTTGTCACAAAAATATTTAAGTAATAATAAAACTTCATATTTTAAAAACACCTAGATTAAAAATGGTTTCCTTTCTATGCTCCCTGTCAATTAAATTGTCTTCAAATATCAAATGCAACTTGATTTCATAAGAATTATCTTACACATGTAGAAATTTCACAACATATTAAAAAAAAACACCAAAACTAAAAACTCAATTAATTTGAATTAATTTTTAAGTGTGAAGTGTTGTTATTTTCCCCATAATCTCCTGACTTTCTATAGCAGCCAGGGAATTGAAGGAATAAGTACTCTATAGTAGATGAAAACACCAGAATTTAATTATCATACTATAAGATTGGATGACTATAATTAACTAAAATCAGAAAATATACTAATAAAATGGAGAAAAGTAATTCAAATAGCTAAAATTGGTCAACTTTCTAGTGTTTTAATTAGGTTAATGTTAATGGGGAATAAAAGGATGTAAATATATTAACTAATTTGTACCTTATAGGAGCACCAGCAGGCAAAGTCAACTCCCCAGTCATGTAAGTGGAGTTCAACATTTCCAACTGCATGCGCTAGATCAAAGCCAACAAAACAACCCTGGGGGAGAACATAATAACAAGTTTTAAATTTGCTTAATGATTAGAAATAGTCCGTACACATATCTTTAAGAAAATCTTTGACAAAGAGATCAACCAAAGGACTTATATGCATGCATATAAGCATATAACCCATGGACACAAACAGTAGTGGGGTGAGGGCATGTGCTGGGAGGTGGGAATGGCTGGGAAGAGGTCAATGGGGGAAAAAGGAGACATATGTAATACTTTAAACAATAAAGAATTTTAAAAAATTAAAAGGACCAATAAGAGATTGTTCTCAGATAAAAAGAAAAAAAAGAAAAAAGAAAATCTTTGACAAGCTAATATAACAGAAATTTGGTTCATCCTTTGGTGCAGTGGTTCACTAAGAGTGAATCACAAAATCCTGGGCATTCCCAAAACACTTTTAGGTCAGAACAATTTTCATAATAGCAAGACATTCTTTGCCTTCTCCACTGTGTTGATATTTGCAATGATAATGCAAAAGCAGTGATGGGCAAAACTGCTGGCACCTTAGCATAAATGAAGGCAGGGGCCCCAAACTGTACTGGTTGTCACTGCACATCAAAGCCATCCAGTTGGGGAGAAAGATCATCCTATTTTAAAATATCCTTGATAAATCTGTAAAGATGATGGATTTGTATTAAATCTCAAAATATTCATATTTGAAGGTTTAATGTGGGAAGTATGCTTAAAATATTCGACCACATTCTGAAGTAGGATGGTTCTTTCAGAGTAATGCACGTCTGCAATTGAGTAGCAATCTGAACAAGCCACTTTTACTTAATGAAGAATCTCACTCCCCCACCCATGGAAGAGAAACCGTTAGACAATATTATAAATGTATGAGTCTGTCAATTCAAGAAAAACAACTCACAGTATTTGTTTCTATTTTTTTTAAAGAGTTTCTAAGAGAAATTAACATTTTAAAAAACTTGTGCTCACTTCTATGAATATGACCCCTTCCCAGTATTTAAAGATATTTCTCCTGAGCTTAATAGTGATATATAATTTTAAAATAATACATAATGAAATATGTAAGTAATTGGAAAATATCCATAGCTCAGTGAAAATATTCATAGCTCAGTGAACCAAATGGCCAATCTTGATGTTACATATCATGGATAAAAGGTCCATTCAAAATGCAAAATCAACCAATGGATTTTACTGTAACAAAGTACAGGCAGTTCAGTAATTTTGTTTCACGTTCTGCACTACAACTCCCAAGAAGTTCTCACTTGTCAAATTTGTGTGCAGTATCAAAAAATATGCAGTTAAACTACTCCTGCTTTTTCTGACTATATGTCTGCACGAGGAACAATTTTCTTCCTATTCTTCACACACACACAAAAAAATTGAATGCAGAAGCAAATTACACACATACACACAAAAAGCTGTCTTCTATTAAACCAAACAGTAAAGGAATTTGCCAAATATAAAACATTTTTTTTGCTTATTTCAGAAAATATATTTTTTTCTTAATCATATATAATTTTTGTTAATATGTAATGGGTTTGATATTGCTATTCTAAAGTAAATTTAGAAATAAATAAATATATTTTAAAATTGTTTTAATTACAAGTACAATAAATAGAAAGGGATGTAAAGATAGCATAAAAGCCTTTTAGAGAACTATTGCTGTAGTGTATCCTACTAAACTGGAGACATTAATGGATGTTTTAGTTTATCACTTAATCCCACATCATGCCCACATGTACTTTAATCAGTTCAAGTGTACACATGTTGTGGTAAATTGCCTTAACAGTTCCAATTCTTTGTCCCTTCTTGTCCTTTGCCATGTAATTTTTCAGTTCCTTTCACTGTGGGCAGGGTTCTATTCTCTGAAACTTGGATCTGCCAGGTGAGTTGTTTTGACCAGTGGAATGTTAGCACATGTACTACAAGTAGAATCCTTAAAGCACTTGAGTGGTTAGGCTTGCTCTCTCTTGCCCTCTGCCATCTCTGTAAGAAGGACTAGCTTGGCCAACGTGCTGGCCCAGATGGAAGATGAAAAAATGTCGATCAGAATCCATCTTAATGAGCTCAGCTTGGTTCTGCTGGTCTCCCCACTCTCCTTTCTTTAGCCAGAGATACCTGCGTGAGCTCAGCTGAGACTAGCAGGATTCCTAAAGCCAAGTCCTGCTCCAATCAGCTGACACAAAGGTGACTGTGGGAGCCGAGAACCATTTATCCCAAGATCTGCCTCAGTGGTATGCAGATTACTTTGAGGCAACTTTAGCAGCAGGCTGCAGAGAAACTCCTGCCCCTCCCTTTAACTACCTAAAAATCAACTTGAATTAGGGACCTCGGCCATAATAAGAGATTATCAGAGATAACTTCTTTTGGCTTATCTGTAGGGCAGGGCAAACGTCTATTTACTAAACATCTGTTCTTCTTGTCATCCTGCAATAATCTCTTGACACTTCCCAGGTGTGTTACCTCATCCCTAGACCAGGATGTCTTACATACTGATGTTCCCTTTCTATCTCTAAGCCAACTCTGCATGTAACTCTCATGTAAGCGGAGGTCCTGTACATATGTATGTATTACTTTTGGTTTTCTCTTGCTAATCTGTCTCATATCTATTTGATTATTAATCCAGCAAGAAGAACCTTGATGGTAGAATATTTTGTTCCCTCCCACACAGCCCATAAAATAATGATGTTTTTTACTCTATGCTGTCTTCTTCCTTTACACTGAGTGGAATCTTTTTTTTTTAAAAAAAAAAATGTATTTTATTGATTTTTTACAGAGAGGAAGGGGGAGGGATAGAGAGTTAGAAATGTCGATCAGCTGCCTCTTGCACACCCCCTAGTGGGGATGTGCCCACAACCAAGGTACATGCCCTTGACCGGAATCAAATCTGAGACCTTTCAGTCCGCAGGCCGACGCTCTATCCACTGAGCCAAACCGGTTAGGGGCCTGAGTGGAATCTTTATCAGCTCCTTATTAGCTGAGTCTATTCTGACTTATTTACTTGCATGGCTTCAAGTGTCTTGTATGTCTGCCTAGTAGAATTCGGTGTTTTAGAAACAAATACTTCCAAAAAGACAACCTGGATTAGTGAATTTGTATCATCCAAACTGTACCTAAGTAGTAACTTTCTAATTTAATGGCTAACCATCAAAACCACTTAGCTTTCTGCAAATCAGCGTAAGTTTTACTTAGAGAATACAGTGACTCACTCCACATTAAGACAACTTTGTACCTGAACATTAATTTAAAAGAAAAACAATAACTGATCATAAAATGGGGGTGGGGAGGGTGATAGTTCACTTTGTAGAAATGTTTTACCTCTTAGTTCTTCTATTGTTTACTATATACACATATAATATTACATTCTCAAAACTGTAAATTTTCTGCCACTTTGAAGAAACATCTATCAATTGAGGTTTTCAAAGGAAATAATTGCAGAGGGGCCAATTTTAGATTGTTCTAACACCTCTTAAGAATAAAGAAATTCAAACTGTTATTATGGGTACTTTCTCTAGAGGAGAGGATGCAAACTATGACCTATTCCTAATAAATAAAGTTAACCCTCTCATTGTTAAATATTGTCTATGGCTGCTCTGTAGGTGAACTGAGTAATTGAAACCCAGACCATAAGGCTGACGAATTCTAAACTATTTACTATCCCATCTGTTGTGGAAAAAGTTTTCTGACTGTTACCCTAGAGCCATGGTCGGCAAACTGTGGCTCGCGAGCCACATGCGGCTTTTTGGCCCCTTGAGTGTGGCTCTTCCACAAAATACCACGTGCAGGCGCACATACAGTGCGATTGAAACTTCGTGGCCCATGCGCAGAAGTCGGTTTTTGGCCTGGGCGAGTCTATTTTGAAGAAGTACTGTTGATATTTGTCTCTGTTGACTAATGAGTTTGCCGACCACTGTGAGAGCATAGTTTCTATTAAAAACAACATTCAACATATTGAAGAATCAGTTAATTAGAAACCTTGCTCATTATAATGTGGACTAAACTTGCATCTCAGAAAAAGTTTTTACTGGTAAAATATAACTAATTTGGGGAAGAGGTGTATTTGGGCTTTGTTCCTCACAAAAAAGAAGCAACACATATCGTAAAAATACAATGGATGCTCCATTTTAACATAAGATTTAGGAGTGATAGAAAAGAAATACAATTAATTTCTATCAAAATTTAGAGTTTAGCAAAATCTGGGTTTGCAAACTTAACATTTTTACAACTCAACTTTTCATAGATACGATTTTACAACTTAAATTTTCTTGGAAACCTCAAGGATCAGAAAACTCAGCACTTTATTATCAATTATTTATAAAGAATAGGCACAATGAGGAAACCATGAAACTTCACCTACTTTATCCCATTATTAAAAGCCCTGTGTTTACATCTGTGGCACCACATTAAAACAACAACACGCCGAAACCGGTTTGGCTCAGTGGATAGAGCGTCAGCCTGCGGACTGAAGGGTCCCAGGTTCGATTCCGGGCAAGGGCATGTACCTGGGTTGCGGGCACATCCCCAGTGGGAGATGTGCAGGAGGCAGCTGATCGATGTTTCTCTCTCATCGATGTTTCTAACTATCGCTCTCCCTTCCTCTCTGTAAAAAATCAATAAAATATATTTTAAAAAAAACAAACAACAACACTCACGCTCCTACAATATGTTTTAATGCATGTACAATTCTTTCCCCATAGATGGCATAAAACATAAATTATTAAAATATAACCATTTTGATTAAAAGACCAGAAGATACAAAGTTGAATATTACCACAAAATGATTTTACAAAAGTTTCACTAGATGGCAGCATCATAAAAATTAAAGAACTCATCGTTCCTCCAAACCTCTCTACAGCTATCTAGTTAATATTTTTTTTATTATATTACTTCTAAGAGTAATTAAAACAATATGAATTGGTGAAAACATAAACTCCACACTTGAGTACCTATTTCATGTAAATTTTTAAATAAACAAATATTTGTTTAACAGGTTTTATTAAAATTACCCACAGGGCTCACACT